CACTCTCAATACCCTGAACTTTGCACTGAGGTGAAAACCATTGACCAGAGCGGAACTGAAACCGAGAAAAGAGTCAACAGCCACAGCGAGAAGCTTTCTCACCACAAACCAGATTACGATCAGGTATGGAAACACCCTTTTTACAATACAGAGCTTCCCTTCCCCTCTCTCTGTCTCCCACACGCAGCCACAGGGTGCACGGCTACTGTCAGGTTTTATTTTTAGCCTTATCCAAAAAAGAAAGAAAGAACACACACACATCCAAACCATGCTGACATCAGAGAAATTTATATTTGGCATCAGCCCATCAAAACATTTTCCCAACTTATGTATGATATTCTCTGACCTTCACTTCACTTCACTAGTCTTTTTATATTTGGCTCCAAAAGAGAGCTGACTGAAGCCCAGCTGATGTCAGGACTCCCCATAGAATGGAAAAAAAAAATACACAACAAAAACACACTCTTTCATCTCTGACCTTTCTTCTATCTTGTCCACTGGCCAAATAGAAAACATGAGTATCACAAAACGCTCCATTGTGTCTGTTGTTGACACACTGTGGGGTATTTCACTTGCTGGTTTAGATTAAAGGGAGAATCCAAAGCTACATGCATTCAGGTGCATTTTGTCTGCAGATAATTTGCTGCTGGCAGGTGCTTGAATGTTGTGGCTTGGAAAATTGGTGCATTTTCTCAGGGGTGTGTGGGTAAAAGCAGATGCATCAAGGCTGGGAATCTAGTGTTATGTCTTGCTAGAAGGCCATGTGTTGTGGTTCGTATGCATTTGGCTCACGTCTCTATTTCCTGTCTCTCTCTTTTTCCACCCTCAGGGGAAACCTGTAGAGATCCTGCCTTTCCTCTACCTCGGTAGTGCCTACCACGCCTCCAGACAGGACTATCTCAGCGACCTTCACATCACGGCCTTGCTCAACGTGTCACGCAGGGACCTGCAGCCGGCCAAGGGCCACTACGACTACAAGTGGATCCCGGTGGAGGACAGCCACATGGCCGACATCAGCTCCCACTTCCAGGAGGCCATAGAGTTTATTGGTGAGTTCAGTGAATATTCATTCTTTAATTAGGGTGCGGATATTAATGCACCATATCGTTTGGAGTTTAGAATATAAGGTAGCTGCCTCTCCGAGCTTAACACTCAGAATAGTTCCCTCACTCAAACCAGCAAGGAAGGGAAATAAATACACCACCACCAAGATGGAGGCATTTCCTGGAATAAGATTGACTTCAGCCTATTTATAATGTAACATCCCCCCCCGCGGAGCCTCAAAAAATACCCAAGCTGAGTCAGAAGAAACACCTATACATAGGTGTGTTTATTTCTGAAAAGCCTCATTGTCTTCAAATAAGCCCCCCTTTATCGCTGCCTCTCACCTGCTGCCATTCACAAATAGAGAGAGCTATAAGGAGCCAAGCTGTAATCAGTTTAACTTGATCGCTAGCCTTCAATCCCCCAACAACCTTATCCAGCCTGTCTGCTTTCATTCAGGATTTGCTCACTTCCACCCCCCCTCCCCGGTTCCTTTCCGACCTCTCTCCCTCCCTCCTTCCGCTACATTCCTCCCCCCCCTCGTCTTAACTTGAAAAAGACGCTTCCATGCCGTCACTGCCTCCCAGACTAAATCACACGCTGCCGGGTGTGGCCAGTAAGTGTGACAACTGGGTGAGCTGTCCGAGTTTAGTAACGGCACAGCGGAGGAGGCTGACTGACACATAAATAGTTATTTATGATAGATGGTTGGAGGATAAATGCTATAGCTGACTGATACACAACAATGGAGAGTATTTGTTTATTGCTAAGAGGTTGGAATCATTGATGGACCTGAGGCCAGCAGGGCAGCAAACAGAGGAAAAGAGAGTGTGTGGGAGAGGAGAGAGGTGCTGGATAATATCAGCAGCAGCAAAAGATGTACACAATGTGCTGGTGGCTATTTATAGCCAGGCATAACCAAGGACAAAGCTCACCCACAAGCAGCTTTGCTGACCTGTATTGGGTGGCTGCTATTGTTGGTATTGTGCATTGTTTGGGGATGCAGCCTACATTTAGGGTGTCTTTCTGTAAGCCTTTCTATTACATAAGGCAGCAAATTGGTCCAGGGGCAGGTTTAGCCTACATTCAAATAGGGCCTCCAAAATTCATCAACCTTGCCAAGCACAAATAGTCACAGCTGTTACTCGAAATAGATCAATCAGCAAATCGGAAACCCTCCTGACCTAGTGACTGATGTAAGACCGTCGAAGAGATAATAAATATTATTGATCTCCGGGATGAAAACAGCCACTGAAGCATGTCATGACGTCTCCAGCCAAAGGATGGTCATTAAAACACCCACTGCTGCTGCTGCTGCTGTTGCTGCGACTGCCCCTCTCTCATTGCATCTTCCTCTCTAGATGGAGCTTCATAATTCATTCATGTGGTTTATAGGGGATCAGAGCAGTCAGAAATCAGCCGTTCTAGCTGCAGTGGCACTCAGGAACAAACAGAAGTGGCCCTCAGTGTTTCTACTTAATAGAGAGAGAGCGTGTAGGTGTGTGCAGTGGCTGCGTGGAACTAAGTGTCCGTAGGTAGATCAGACTTAGATGCAAGACAGACAGAAAAAGGAGACACGTAGGTGTTTGCAGTAGTTCTAAGAATCAACGAAATCTTGAAACGTGTCGTGAGGGGCATTTAGACAGATGAGTGAAAGTAGATTTGTGTGTGGGCTTTAGAACATACAGATAAGTGTGTAGGAGTGCAGCAGCTCTAAATTAGAACACACGTCTCTGTGCCACGGTGAACACTGCAGCAGCACCCAGCGCCCCCACAGCAGTGCAGAAAAAAAAAATCTCATGTACAGCTGCGCTCTGTGACTAACACAAGCCTCACAAGTGTCTGTTTGTGTGCACCACATCAAAACTGGTATAGGAAGTGTGTGCATTTCTGTGTCGCTACAAATTAAGTGTACTGACAGGCTGGATGTTCCTGTTTGTCCAAAATATACTGCTGCTGCTGCTGCTGCTGCTGTGTACGTGAATATGTCTGTGTGAAAGAGAAAGAAACTAAATAGGTGTTCACATTAATTGGTGAGTGGGAGTAAGGAGTAGGCAATTGCAGTTAAAATGTGATTTTTCATTTGTTAATATGTGTTTAAAACTCCCTATTAATTTGTTGTAACCTCTCCACCACATAACTTGACTTTTAAAATATCAATTACAGCCAGATGCTAACGAAATGAAAAATAAAACCTGAAACAACATTGTAACCCATGTTTTAATATTTTCAATCAATAATTTGATGCAAATTTTCTGTGCAGCAATTTTGCTGATGTTCAAAGAAAGAAAAAGTTATTCCCATCTGACCACAGACTGTCCCCTTCTTCTCATTCCAGATCATGTGAAGCAATCAGGGGGAAAGGTCCTGGTACACTGCGAAGCAGGCATCTCACGTTCACCTACCATCTGCATGGCCTACATCATGAGGACCCAGCAGCTGAGGCTGGATGCAGCCTTCGACATCATCAAGCAGCGCCGGGCAGTCATCTCACCAAACTTCAGTTTTATGGGTCAGCTGCTGCAGTTTGAGTCCGAGGTTCTGTCCAATGCCCCGGCTCTAGCTGCCACACCTGAACCGGCCACACCTTGTGCCCCGGAGTCCGCCTCCTTTTTTGCCAATGACTTCGCCACCACCTTTAACACCAAAAACTTTGAGCCATCCGTGTTCACCCTCCCTACCTCTTGCCTGCAGTCCCCGGTCCACCACCAGTTCAAACTGAGCCCAATAACTGCACTGCCTTAAAATGAACTGTGACTGCTCGTAGTCTTACTTGAAAATATTAAAAAAAGAAAGAAATCAATGCTCTCTGTGTGCCTGGTGTTGAAACCGGCAGGGCAGATAGACCAGAGATCAGCAAAGAAGAGTCAAGATAGTAGTATTCACTTAATAGGACTTGAAGCTTATGAAATCTGTGGGCTACAGACGTTGATGCTGTTTTCCTGTCTTCTGAACTGCAGCGATGAAACAACACAGCACGGTGATAAACTGCAATATACATGCCTTAGGTTGATATTGTGATTTATTTGCCTATTCACAAATACAGTCAGGCATTTGAACTTAATTTATTTGAAAAAATAATGGTCTGTTTTTTTTTCAATAATGTGGATATGAATATGTGTTTAATAAATGTTTTCACCACAAAAATAACTTTGTCTTGTACTCATTGTAGAATTGTGCATGTGGTATGATGGTGGGTAGACTATATGAGTGTGAAATAAATTGTAAGAGCACTTTTTCCTGGTAGAAAAATCAACACTCCTTTAAAATCCTTGCATTAAGAGAATAAACTGCGTGGACTGGCCTGAATACAACAGTAGGGGCAACAGTGACACCTGCAGTGACTTTAGGATGGCCTTTATGAACAACTAATGAATGCTTATAGGCTTAGTGAGAGTCACACTGCATGTGCCCGCGGTTTGCCCATTCAATTAGCTTAAACTATGGAGGCTATAAACACTTGAATCAATGTTGAATTTGATTCTGGAAAACCCCGGAAGAAGCATTTTGGTCAACATTCCCGTTTGAAACAGATTAGTTTAGTGTTTTTCTGAAAGTAGAATAACATCTTAATTTCCATAATCACCAATAAACAGCAGCTGTTATCGGTTATTAAGTTTAGCTTCACTAACTTAGTTAACTATTATAACTACCACTCCTACCGGTGAGACAGGAAGACGATAACGACTCTGCGTTTGGCGCCTAGAGGAGACCCAGTTTGAATGTACCAACTTTACAAGTAGGTAGGTAAATAAATAGCAACCTTGTCGAATCTGTTGTCACCACAAAACACACCATGAGCCCATGAACACACTATTCAACAGTTTAAATATTCTAATAATCAGCTTCCCAATAATTTATGTCAGTTCAACACACTATTAATGAACCTTAATTGCGGCAACCCCGTGTTCACATAATGGTATGCTCCATTCCATCCCGCCCCCGCCGCCATTTTCCATGTTATTCTCTTTAGCCTCTCAGTGTTTTGCAAAATTTTAATGCAATAATTTGTGTTGTTAAGTTTGGGTTATTAAATTCCCGGCTTCTCCGTTTCGTGGAGAGGGGAGCTTTATCTCCAAATTCTGCCGAGGAGAAGCCCCGCTTAGGCAGCCATGTACATCAAACAGGTAAGCTAACAGCACCAGGCTTGTGCGTGTTGCCGACTAACACTGGCCTAACATTAATTTGGCTAGCACAACGTTATTCCACTGAATGATGGGACTGTGGACACCGAGGCTTTGGACAAAGTATAACGTTAAATGGATTGCAGAACAAAGTAAAGTCACCCCGGGGAGTGCACAAGTTGAGAAGCTAGCTTGCTAATGTTAGCTAGCGCCGTCTTGAATTGAATTGCCCGTTCCCTTCGCAACATGCTAAGCTAACGCTGCAAGGCTCACGGTAAACGAGCGGATTTTAACGCTTCTGTTGGCTAAAGCGGTAAAATGCCAAATAAATTTCAACACCTAGAAATGTGCAGTTTGATAGTACTGTGTTTGCTAAACTTATTGTGATTTATGTTGCTGTTTCGCGTATAAGGTTATCAATGTACTGAATGAAAACTAACGTTAGCCCGTAAAGTGACCGTCAGTCAAGGCCCTGTTGAATTCATGCCGGGCTTATGATAACTACGTTTGCTGCTCCGATTCGCGCACAAGTTGCACATGTTGAGTCCAGTTGTAATCCTGCAGTAAGAAATAGTTCGTGGCTTAATACTGGAGTCGACTTGTCTGTTTATCTATCTTGCCTTGTTGCACATATTTTTCTTGTTGCCTGTTTTATAACATGTGCAGCACTTCGGTCCAGCCCTCTTTTAAACTTGCACTATACGGACTTGATTTGTTTTACTAGCTCTATTTTGTTGATGGTGTCTTAAATGCAAATGATGTTAATTCTTGTGTGATCATGGTGGTCGCTGGGTTTTTGTGCAGGTCATCATTCAGGGGTTCCGAAGTTACAGGGATCAAACTGTGGTAGACCCCTTTAGTCCGAAGCACAATGTCATCGGTGAGTTTATCTCAAACTTTTAATTCCGGTTTTGTATTGTATTGCAGCTTTTAATTGAAGAGTGCTTGTGACTTGGATGAATGCATGTACATAGGCTGACGGATCGAATTGCTTTCCTGATCATGTTGTTATTCTGTCTTTTTTCCCCTGTTACAGTTGGAAGAAATGGGTCAGGAAAAAGTAACTTTTTCTACGGTATGTGAATTTTACCTCATCACAGTCAAACATTTAGCCTTCTGTGGTGTTATTGTTGTTTAAAACTGTGACTCTTCTCTCTTTTTTTTTTTTTTTAGCCATCCAGTTTGTGCTCAGTGATGAATTCAGCCACCTGCGACCTGAACAGCGCCTGGCCCTGCTCCATGTAAGTACAAGCATATGTGAGACGCAACACAAATCCCACCTTGTTTTAAAAGTGATTCTCTGACATAGTGGTTGTGTAAAAAATGTCTTATTAGACGTGCGTATGTGTCTGTGATTGAAGTACAATGGCTGAAATGTAAAAGTCAAATCTTTTCCTCTAATATATATATATTTTCTCCTGTCACTGCAGGAAGGAACTGGTCCACGTGTCATTTCGGCTTTTGTGGAGATTATATTTGACAACTCTGACAACCGGCTGCCGGTAGGAATGGCAAACATCCTATATTGATCCTATTACTGGACTCGCTGACACACTGCTTGTTTTCATCTTGATGATGTTCAGATCTTTCAGTCAGCCTCTCAAATAATACCGTATCTTCTCTGTGTACATGTGAAAAATAATTACTTGACATTTTAAGCCCCAATTTGGATATGAATGAATGTCCAGTTTATTTTTTTACTGCTGATGTTAGTCTAACAGTGAAATTGTTAGATTTTTTTTCAAAGCTTGTATCACATTAACTACAGATTAAAAAATATTTAATTTCAGAAACTAAACTAAACTTAAATAGCTATGAAACGATGTAATCGTAAGTTTAGATTTGTACCACAAGTCTTAGAAAATCTTTAGAAAATGAGCATCAACATCTTCAGTCTGAGCTCTCAGTGGAAGTGACACATTTTCACTATAATATGTTATTAATTTCATATAAAATTCCCTGCCTAAATTGCTGTGGACTGTCCTGACCACTGATAATGTGACACTGCCTTCAGTGCAAACTTATTATTTGGATGATGAAGACCAGATGTTTATAGCACTCTAAATATCCAAAGGTTCTTTTCACTGAGTGTGAAGCTGTAATCACACAGCCTGCTAATACTGTGGCACAACCAGCCTATTCCGCTGCTGTGTGTGATTCGCAACTTGATCAGTGATACATAAATCTCCCTCCAGATTGACAAAGAGGAAGTCTCCCTTCGCCGTGTCATTGGCGCAAAGAAAGACCAGTACTTCTTAGACAAGAAGATGGTGACGTAAGTATTACTGTGAATCGGCCCATTTCCTTGTAATCACAGGAAATTACAACTCTGTGATTCCATGGTATTCTAAGTGCTGTTCTTATTGCAGTAAGAATGACGTCATGAACCTTCTGGAGAGTGCCGGCTTCTCCCGCAGTAACCCCTACTACATCGTCAAGCAGGGAAAGGTGAGTAAAAAAAATAGCTGCCAACCTCACACTTGTGTATTACATAATAGTTTTTTCTGTGCTGTGTAATAAATTGCAGTCTTCAAGGAAGGGCATTATTTCAATGTTTCATGCAGATCAACCAAATGGCCACAGCGCCTGACTCCCAGCGTCTCAAGCTGCTGAGAGAGGTGGCAGGGACAAGGGTGTATGATGAACGCAAGGAGGAGAGCATTTCTCTAATGAAGGAGACGGGTAAAAACTTCTTAACTCCATTTATATGAATTCATAAACCACTATGAATTATTTTTTGAACATGAGTGATGTTGGTATGCTTTGATTTATGTTTAAGGAATGTGGTCTCAAAATTATCCTGCGTTTCTGTTTTGAAAATGTTTCACATTGTTCATCAATATGTAATTGGTAACTTTCATACTTTAATAAGCCTAAGGCAAAATATATATATAGTGCATGCTGCATGGTAGCTTTAAAACTTGTTGTTAATTTGGAAAATAAAGTTAGGAAGGTGACTGTTGTTGTCTTCTAGAAATAAGTCTTGAATTATGAAGTTGTATGAATATGCAACACAACATACCACTTTTCCTCTTCTTCTTCACCACAGTGAAATCATGTCCTGTATCAAAAAACTGCTTGGGAATTATGTGTGAGATTAGTGGATGGTTTACATGTTCTATTGAACAACCAAACGTGTTTTCTCCAGAGGGAAAACGAGAGAAGATCAATGAGCTGCTGAAGTACATTGAGGAGCGTCTGCACACCTTGGAGGATGAGAAGGAAGAGCTGGCTCAGTATCAGAAGTGGGACAAGATGAGAAGAGCTCTGGAGTACACCATCTACAACCAGGAGCTGAACGAAACCCGCGCCAAGTTGGACGAGGTAATAAAGATGAGAAAAAACTGTACTGCATATACAGAGTAAAACACTAAACATATTAGGTTTTGTGATCTTTTTTGATGCTGGTGTGGGGAAGTATCACTACCCATTACTTAAAACACTATATATGTGTATATTTAATACAATTGTGATTATAAAATAATATTATCCTGAACTATACTGTAACCCTTAATGGTCCTTATTTAAATACGAACAAATACAAGAATCAAGTTGTGTTGTTCCTGTGTTTTCTTCTTTTTGTTGTGTACAATGATTTTGTATTTTGTTCGCTGTCCTCCAGTTGTCCAGCAAGAGAGAGACCTGTGGAGACAAATCCAGACAGCTGCGTGATGCTCAGCAAGATGCCCGAGACAAAGTAGAGGTAAAGACTTTCATCACAAAGAATGACATCCATAACTGGGATCAGGGGTGGGTGAAAATACACATTGTTGTAACCATCATGGTGTTGCAATATTTAGTGAATTATTCAAGGTGTTAGATTATTTAATATGAAATGAAATGAAAACACTGTTCTTACTGTTTTATGCTTTGAGATCTTCAGGTTGGGCATAGTTTATGAATCCTAATGTCACAGTACAGTATTGCCAGGATTTGATTGTGTGGTAATAATACAAATTGATTCTTTTATATAATAGCTTTACATCTGATGTCAACGTGATCTTTTGTTATTTTGTTATGTAGTAAGCAGTTTACTACATATAAAGAACAGAAATGAGTGAATGTGGACATAGTTTTAGAGGGCTTAAGTAGTCAACGCTCCTGACAGTATGTGGCTGTGGATCATCATTTAATCAGTGTGACGGAAGTAAGTTCTTATTTTTATTCACATTTGAACTTAATCTCACAGCCGGTTTCTTTATTTTGGCTCCCTTTCTGTAGGAGACAGAGCGCGTTGTGAGAGAGCTGAAGTCTAAGATCTCTGCCATGAAGGAGGAGAGAGAGCAGCTGTCGGCCGAGCGCCAGGAGCAGATCAAGCAGAGGACCAAACTCGAGTTGAAGGCCAAGGACCTGCAGGACGAGCTGGCAGGCAACAGTGAACAGAGGGTACGGAAGCCTCCCATCTGCGTCACACTGCACACGTGATGCTGTACCAACAACACCCCCCTTCCCGCTTCCCCTTCCTCCCTCTATGAAGAGAAGGATGGTTTTCTTTACGCTTCCAGCCCACTCCACTTAACCCTGTTATTAGCTGATAAGGCGGGTACATGTCCTCAGTTGCTTCACTTTGCAGGACAGGTTTTTTTTTGAGAGAGGAGTGTACCACATGGTCAGCTTTTGAATTTGGAGAAAGACTTTACAAGTAGAGTAACATGATCAAACAATGTAGATGCAAGTCCACAGTACTTAAGTCCACCAGTGAAGTTTAGTCCAGAGTTTGCTATGACCATTTTGAGGTTATATCACATTCTGATATATCAGCTTTGGGCTGTGCTTAGTTTTGGGATAGGTTTTTCTTGTTCACCTAGATCTTAAGTATCAGTTTTTACTTGGACTCCTCTGTGTTCGGTCTCGGGTTGCTTTGACAGCCCTGTCAGTATCTATGTATACTAGGATTAGGCAGGAAATGGTAAATAAGAGCTGCCAAAAGTGGTTATTTATGGTTTTGTCTAGGGATTTGTCATCGTTTTTTGTTTTATTTAATGTGGAACAGAGGTCTTTGCATAAAACATTTAAGACATTAATATGTAAAATATCCATATCGTCATCAATTTAAAACATGTCACCCTGCCCAACTGTGCAGATGCCCTGTGGGATGAATTGAGAACCAAAACACAGTAAGCACTAGCCTGCATATCAGACTCTCTGCCATCAGCTCCACTATACATCGTTCCTGGCATGGGTTTTTGTGTACAGGGTTGGCATGGATCACTCTCCATATGGCCTCGCGTTGAGTGTGTATTTGTGTGCACGTGTGAGTATGAAGAGGATAATCATACATAACGGCTTTATTGGCTCAGTCTGTGTGTGAACCATGATGAGTCCCAGGCAGCATGCTGGCTGTTGGTTGGATTAAGCCCACCTGGCTACGGCTGGCATAACACCAGCCAAAAGTTATTGGAGCAAAATGAAAAGCCTCACTAGCTGTGGGTGGGCCTGGTTTGATCAGCCACCTCAAAGCTGATCAAACCAGGGGAAAAAGGAAATGTTTCCTTTCCATACCTGTGGGAGGACAGCCAACCGACAACAAAAATATCTGTCCACATTAGTAGTCGGTGCACAGGTCTGCTGTTGGGGAGATCCAGGTGAAAGATATGATCCTGAAAAGGCACTTTGCTAAAGAAGGTTACACTTGGCCTCTGTGCACTGACACTAGGGATTCTATTGACTTTTATGTACCACATAATAATAGACAGAAATATACGAAAAGGTGGCTCTCAAAGTGACAAAGAACTCGTTTGATTCCAGTTAGAGAAAAGACTCAATAATGGCTGAAGAATTCGATAAGACTGATTGCTGCTGAAGTTTAAATTACCTTTACTACAAGAGGGTTTTTTGTGTACTTTGGTGATAGTGCTAGCAGTTTAAAAGTGCACACGTTGGCTTTCTGCATACTTGACAGGATAGTCACACTTGTAAAATGGTGGAAAACGTTTTTGTTTAATTGGCACAGATCTTATGCATGTCTTCTGATGGATATCCAGATTTTGAAATTTGAGCAATTTCTAAATCTAAAAATGTTGTGTGACATGTCTTCTCCAGAGTTTTCTCATCTTTGGACATTCAACTCACATCATTGTGGCTTCTTTTCATTTCCAACCACATGTTTTTCTCCCCTTTTGGCCTTTCATTTGTCAGCTACACGATTATTTTGCTGTAGCCTAATAATGTGATAGTACAATTTAGGGTCAACCCAAGAATAGATGCTTTTATCCTAAATCACTTACTAGGTAATCATTGTTATTGAGGAATATTCTTTCTAACTATTGAAAATTTTTCCTTGCTTAGCACCATTTTCCAAATATAGGTCTCTCTTCCTTTCTTTAGAGAGCTCTCATTTGAAAGATTTGTTGCAAAAATAGTATGTTCTTTCTCTTGCAGAAACGCCTGCTGAAGGAGCGTCAGAAGCTGCTGGAAAAAATTGAGGAGAAGCAAAAAGAGCTGCAGGAGACCGAACCAAAATTCAACATGGTGAAAGAAAAGGAGGAGCGGGGCATCTCCAGGTAGGGATGACTCATCCTCAGCTACGGTTCCTCGAGCAGCTGGTGACCAGTCATAACTCGATGAGTCAGTCATCACATATTGAATACATTTTGATAGCAAGGGATCAAGAGGTGCATACACATGAGAGGTTTGTGAATTCTCTTACAAAATACACAAATATGCAAACATTTAGATACCTTAATTGCAGGAAGGAGAACTAGGGAAAAAAAAGTTCTATTTTTTCTAGTGTTCCTTTGAAAGACACCATGTAAGTCACACCTGTGTGTCTTTTCAAACCTGTGGTGCTTGTTTCACAGGATAACAAGGAAATTCTAATCATACATTATATTTCTATGCACTGTATTATATGACTGTACCTGATCAAAGCAGAAGCAGCAGAGAAGGGTAGAGAAATGAACAGTTGACTGACAAGGTTGTGAACTTTTCACATATCTCCATGCATAATATGTTGAAAGATGAATAGGATTAAGATGAATGATTGATGTAGCTTCCTGTTTGAACTTGTGGTTTAGTTGATAGATCTATAACCTCCCATCTCTCGCTAGGCTGGCTCAAGCTACTCAGGAGAGGACAGACCTGTACGCCAAGCAGGGCCGTGGTAGTCAGTTCACCTCCAAGGAAGAGAGAGACAAGTGGATCAAGAAGGAGCTGAAGTCTCTGGACCAGGCCATCAACGATAAAAAGAGGCAGATTGCAGCTATCCACAAAGACCTGGAGGACACAGAGACAAACAAAGAGAAGAACCTCGAGCAGTACAATGTAAGATGTTTTCCTCAAAGAAATTTTGCACTAAACACAGGGAGCTTTGTTGTTCCGTCTGTTGTAACTGTGGCAGAAATGACAACCTGTGCAATTCCTCTGCTGCTATTAATGCTTGGACCTACTAAACTGTTCCATTTTTTCCCCTCACACTTACATCTGTTTGCTGTAGCGGTTTGTAATCCTGTGCGTGTAGCCGATGAAGCCTGTAAAATCTTACATAATTTATTTCAGATTGATTTAGAAAGGCTGTGATGCATTGTATTTGGCTTGCAAAAGGTTTCTGCTGTTTTGATCTGACCTCTTGTCAGGAGAGTTTGTCTGACCCACTTTCAACTTTTGTCTTCAGAAACTCGATCAGGATTTAAATGAGGTCAAGACCCGTGTGGAGGAGCTGGACAAAAAGTATTATGAAGTGAAGAACAAGAAGGATGAACTCCAGAGTGAAAGAAAGTAAGAGCCGTCTGCTTGACCTCACATCAGTTCAGTTTTAAAATTCAGCCTCCGTTTGAACTCATTGTTGTTTTTGTTGTGTGTGGTTTTTGAGGACCTCATGATTTAGATGAATCATGAGTCATACCTGCATTTTGAATTGAGTTGAAAGGTTGAATTGTTCATCCTTCCTTTAAGCCAATATGCTGTTTCTGCTCGGCAACCTTTAGTTACATACCAGTGTATTGTTGGCTGTGAATGTCACCGAGTCTTCTCAGTCCACCTTAACAATGAAGTTTATTTATGTAACACAGAGGATGATACCTCGGGCCCCTGCTTCCAGATCTTTTCTCTTTTTTTTTTTTTTTTTTTGATTTTAAAAGGTCTTTCTTTGTGTTGCAGATAAGTAGTGAAAATATAGTATACAGCCTACTGCTTCTTGAATGACAAAGACAGCATTCACATTCAAGCCTCTCCAACTCTTATTTGGCACACTCAAAACTAATAACATGTATTTTCCCTCAAATCTAAGAGTACACGATTCTTTTAAAATTTAAATACCCTTGAATATAGTAAGACCCTTATTACTATCACAAGTAGAACAGATTAAATGGATATTTTGTGGTTGATTTTGTATCCTTTAGTTGACTGTGGTCTACTGTTTTTTATCCACTGTAATTATTTAACAAGAGTTTAGTCAACATGTGTTTTACTTGAGGAGAAAAGATGACAAAAAAGAAACAGATTACACATAATGTAAAAGTCAAGGGGTTGTAATAAACTTTGTTTTACATAACATTGTTGGTCACAGTTTGCCTTTGATATTCCTTTTAAAATGGACAAGGAGTCTAGGAGTCTAGTTATTGAAGCAATATGATTAATTTCTCATCATCTTTAGAGGCCCCATCCACTAAAAATCTGTTTTTTACATTAACATGTCAGTGGGGATATTTTAGTGTGCTCGAAGATGTGTCATGAGCAAAATAGGCAATCGATGCCATGGCTGATCATTTCCATCTTAAATTTGCAGTCTTCCAAGCAGACAGTCTCAAAGCAAACCCAGAGAACCAATTCTGTTTACTTGCAGGGTAGGACTTACTGCATCATTATTCTTCTTTGGAATTGTTTTCTGGTTTAAACATTTAAGGCCAAATTTCTCGAAAATGATTACATGCCATTGTGTAACATAGAGTAGTTTTTTAGTGGCTTAGCAGAGCCTTAATTTAGCTAGTTAACTTGAGCCACTGTGCGTGGTAGGAGAGGGAGGAACCACATAGATCTGTGCATTTAGGGATGGTAATATCCATCAAGGGTTGCAAGGTTGCAAGGTTGGTAGCACTGTTGCCTTGCAGCAAGAAGGTCACTGGTTCGCGTCCCGGTGAGGACACCCGGGATCTTTCTGCATGGAGTTTGCATGTTCTCCCCGTGCAGCGTGGGTTCTCTCCGGGTTCTCCGGCTTCCTCCCACACAGTCCAAAAGCATGTTGAGGTTAATTGGTGATTCTAAATCGTCCTTAGGTGTGAATGTGAGTGTGCTTGGTTGTCTGTCTCTAAGTGTAGCCCTGTGATAGACTGCTGACCTGTCCAGGGTGTCCTCTGCCTTCACCTTAAGTCAGCTTGGATAGACTCCAGCCCCCCATGACCCTAGTGAGGATTAAGCGGTGTATAGATAATGCATGGATGGATGGATGGATCATCTATCAAATGTCAAATCACCTTGTAAATATTTCTAGCAAGCTGTTGCTGTTGTAGATATTTATGATAAATACTCATCAAGAATATTACTAAAGTAGATAACTGTTTTAGTATAGAGTTCTTATTTCAGGTTGAGGTTTTTTTTGGTCACTGAATGACTACTTTTCTGTGAGTATCATGGCTGCACTTTGGTTTTAGTCTCTCTGGTGACATAAGTCTAACAGTGTGTGACTGTCCATATCTGTCCAGCTACCTGTGGCGTGAGGAGAACGCAGAGCAGCAGGCCCTGGCGGCCAAACGAGAGGACCTGGAGAAGAAGCAGCAGCTCCTTCGAGCAGCCACCGGCAAGGTCCGTGTCACTGTGCATGACTGCGTAATTATTGACTTGCATAATCGAACTACGGGATACCGAATGCTTCCGTCTGGACACAAGTAAAAGATATGTCTGTGTGTAAAGGAGCACAGAAATGGAGGACTGGAAAAGATGGCAAATTTTTGGCACCACACTAATCGTTTTACACACAGACATACATGTGCTTATCTCCCTTTTTCTTGGGATGACACTTGTAAGCCAGAGGTAGACCTGCCGTGCTGCACATCTATTAAATCTTACTTGCAGACAAACTGTGGAAGCAGAAATGGGCGAGTGAAGATAAATCAAATCCCAAGTAAAAGAGTGCCTCACTCTTCAAGTGAGCCCACCTGAATACTGCCAGCCACTTTGTGACTCAGGCAGTTGTCAGGATAGGTATATCAAATGGAATCATTCATCTGCCTCGCTGCTGGCACCTTATGATAGCTAGCTAAATTTACATATGACTCACACCTCTCTGCCTCATCGAGTCATTTCTTCTGGGCATTTACATCAATCAAATATCACTTCTGAATAATGTCTGCTGAGATGAAAGAAGGCTGTTTGTAGCTCTATGGACAAATGTCCTACATTTATTTTTCCTACATTGGTCCTGGCTGACTCATCCCCTCTCCAGCCTTTGATCGACTCTATCTGTCCTCTTTCACATTTTATATTTGCGGTCTGTAGTCGGGTTTAAGTGTTGAACAACATTGAGATAGTACACATTGTGTTTTCTGTTTTTGTCATGCCCACATGATGTGTTTGTTTTTTTAATGTGTTCATGGTGTTTGTCATGAAAGATATTTTTCTCAGAGTTTGGTTCAATGATTTTTTTTGTATTCTACAATAATTGTTACATGAATATGTATTATATGTTTTTTTTGTAGTCATTCAAAAATCATAATTTCATGATGGAATTCTGTTATTTAATCTTTGTTTTATATTATTAATGTTATCGTTACTCCTCTTCTCCCTTGTGGTCCTCCAGGCCATTCTTAATGGTATTGACAGCATTAACAAAGTCCTGGAACATTTCCGCCGGAAGGGCATCAACCAGCACGTCATCAATGGTTACCATGGCATCGTCATGAATAACTTTGAGTGTGAGCCTGCCTTTTACACCTGTGTGGAGGTGACTGCTGGGACCAGGTGTGGATTGCTTTTATATTTTCACTGGTAGCGCCTTCTCTTTATTTAGTAAACATATTACTATCAAACAGTTGAGTGTGAAGTTTGTACAGAAACACACAGGCTGATATAAAAACAACAATGGCCCCACTTCCTCCATTCTACAAGCAAGTACAAATGTGTCCTTTGGGTGCAGCTTAGTGCTGCGTGGGAAGATAGCAGATTGTTTGAAAAATGTGTAGTATTAAGTTTCTGCTTTGTTTGTAGTATCAGTAGACCACGTGACTTGGGGTTTATCATTTCTTTCATCTGTGTGTTCATAATTAATTTCAAATTATTCTACTATTCTGTCTACTTGTAGGAATGGATGTTTTAAACATGTTCTCACTTTTCACAGGAACTTGTTGCCTGTTTACAGCCATGATCTGCAGTAAAAGTGACGACTTGTGTTTTTCAGACTGTTCTACCACATTGTGGAGACTGACGAAGTCAGCACCAAAATCCTCATGGAGTTCAACAAAATGAACTTGCCTGGAGAGGTCACATTCCTGCCACTGAGCAAGCTGGATGTCAGAGACACCGCCTACCCAGAGACCAATGTAAGTACCATGCATGACCTGCATTTGGTACTTTGTATGCTGTAAATTCAGTCCACCAGCAAAAGGGTGTAGCTAACCCTGGAACAATTAACAGAAATGATTTAAAAACATACTTGATGTAGCATCCATTCCCTCACTCTTACTTAATCATCCTCCTCCTGTGGGGCACAGTGAGCTCCCTTAGTTTTTCCTAACAACCGGTTACCTTTTGTTACCCATTCTAGAGACAGATTTAGGTAATGAGGCGTATAACATTTGCCATTGTTCATACCGTTTTATTTTTGCCCCATAAGGATGCCATCCCCATGATCAGCAAGCTTCGCTACAGCCCCAACTTTGACAAGGCCTTCAAGCACGTGTTTGGGAAGACCCTGATTTGTCGTAGCATGGAGGTTTCCACCCAGCTGGCCAGAGCTTTCACTATGGACTGCATAACTCTCGAGGGTAAGCTGACCTGTGATACACATTACAGCTTACACTACTGGAACACTGGAAGTAGTAACGTAAAAGTGGAGTGGAAGCTTCAAAAAGAGCAGGCATAGAGATTCAGACCAAAAGGCAATCAGCATCTGTTCCAAATGAACAAATATATGGATGGTATGCTTGGCATCATGTAGCCTGAGTCATATTATTACTACAGAGATTAGTGCCGGTTTCTCTGGTGATTTTGTAACTTACATTTTACATTAATTGAAATCTACAATATTTGCAGCATCTCATCTTTTGTAGTTGCAATAAGCTGTTTAATTGTTTGTTCTGCGTCATAAAACCTCATGCAGAGGGACCACACACATGCAGACTGTGGAAAATTAGTATTGTAATGTAATTATTTTAGCTCTCCACCCTGTGTGAATCATACTCCCAGTTAAACTATCCGTAGCAAATGTGAAAAGATTCGGATGTGTCTTTTGATAACATGTAGCATTTCTGACTTGCCTCTGTAACACTCTGGGTAATACTGTAATAACGTTCCATACTGTATATTATGTTGTGACCTTCTAGGTGACCAAGTGAGCCACCGTGGAGCGCTCACAGGAGGCTACTACGATACCAGAAAGTCTCGCCTGGAGCTGCAGAAAGACATGAGGAAGGCTGAGGAGGAGCTGGGTGAGCTGGAAGCCAAACTCAATGAGAACCTGCGCAGGAACATCGAACATATCCTTTCAATTAAAACATGTAATAAGTTTGTACATCACTGTACAACACTGATGCCCACAGGAAAATGTGGGCTTCATGTGCTCTCCGTTTTGAAGTTAGAGCAAAAGCAAGAATAACTCTAAAAATTATTTTGAAGTTTTAGAAAGTGCCCGTATGGCTAGTTGTGCCGCAGATATCTTTGAAGTATTCGTGAAGATGAAATGTGCGAGTGTTTCAAAGTAGATCAAAAGGTCTTATTCATTCTCTTTCTGTTAGATGAGTTTGGAATAAGTTTACTGGAAAGTGAGTCATGCAGCTTTGTAAAAGCTCCACCAAGTGATCGCTTCACCACAGATACATTTTTTTCCCCCCCTTTTTGAGATTTATTGATTTTAGCGAAATGGGCTGAGTCACATCGGAATACCAAGAAAATAGAGGAGTGTATGACATCAGACTAAATGTTTCTGCATTTGAAAAGTAATTATTAACTAAACTGAACAGGCTTCTGTCACTTTGAAACATTGTTTTGAAATCTATAAAGAGTGGATACAATTAGTCAGAAATGAGTTTCTCGTATCTGTCAGTTCCAGCAAAGTGTTTCACTTTTCAGGGTAGAATTGGCTGTTTTTGTGAAATGTTAAAGCGATGAGTTTCTTTTCAAACTAACTTTTCCAATTCATATTGAATTAGTCTTGGATTTTTTAAATTGAGTCTTTGGATGTATTGTGAGGATAGTTGATATTGCAAGGCAAACTTTAGCTTGCTGTTGTCTGGAATGTGCTGAAATAAAGGGGCAGTTTTGATCAACTGTAGACGCTATTATTAGTAAAATGGAGGTGCAGACAACAGTCTTAAGCAGTCACTATTTTGCAACTGTATTAGAAAATATCAGTCTCTAAAACAAACTTTGCACTATCGTCTTCTGTTGATGAAGAAATGATTTTATTCCTTTGCCAGTGTGCAGTGTATAGGAGCCTTTCTTTTGTCCAGAACCTATATTGAAAGCTACAACACCCTCTCTGAATTATAGGGTGAAGTCATACAGCTAAGCCTTTCTTTTATTGTGGATTAAATCCATCTGCATTATGTAGCTAGCTGAAAGCCAGCAGGAAGCTGACTCGGTTTAAAGAGGTCAAGAAAGATTAGTGTACATTTGGTTATATCGGTCAGAGCCATGACTCACTGCTGGACAGTCCATGAAGGCAAACGAGTGGATCAGAGAGGATTTGTGTTTGCATGTACACTGAGTTTATGAATATGGTCACTTCCGCACAGGTATGAGTAAATGTGTATTTGCACACCTGTGTGATGGGCTGTAGCTTCTCACTCACAGCCAGTCGTGTGTGTGTGCACCTAGTGATTATGTATATATGCGAGTAAGCCGGAGAAACAGGCAGCTGTGTTGATGACATGGTCCCCATCCTCCCGTCCTGCAGCAGTGAGTCAGAGAACAGATCAATTATTTAAAAGCCTCTTGTTGTTCACTCTCCACTGCTGCCCTGTCGATAAGCATGAGATTACAGTGATGCACCTCACCCATCCTTTCTGTTTTTTGTTTTTTTTACCTGCCATCTTCATTTTGCCATCATGTTGCAGCATAACTATTGGAATTACATGCATTGTGACTGTGCGTAACTGCAACAACTTGGTGATGTGATATGCACCTGATTTTTATTTTTTCATAAGCATTGATGTGCTCATTACTGAGATTAATGCAGGTTTTGATTACATTTTTTTTTTTTTTTTATACAGAGTAGTTGGCAGCCTGACGTCAGCTGTTTTCATTCAAGAAAACTATTAGATGGTCTGAAGCGAGCTTTTTTTAAAAAATATCTGCTCTGGTTGACAGGCGGGTCCTGTGACTTTCAGTGGCCCTTTTAAATCAGCAGATTGATTGGCTTTAGTGTTCAGTGAGTCCCAGTAAACCAAAAAGACCCAGAGGAGTGTGGCAGTCCTCAAAGATCAATAAGGCTGTCTGTTAAATTAGCTTAATGATGAGTATGCGCAGCCCTCCTTAATCCTCTGCCTTGATATCAGTGATGACACCATCTTCCCTTTGAAGCCCAATTATATTATTAAAGCGCTCTGGGTTGCACTAAAAAGCCTCCAAGCTGCCCCTTGACTTTATTTTCTAATGAGAACAGCTTTTACAACCTTAGTGAGGCTTAAGGATAGAGTAGAGTTGACTATTTAAAAATCCAGCTTCTTTTAATCACAGTCATACACAATTGATCATTTTAATTATAAGTTATAGACCAATTAACAAACAAGCACGACACTGACACTAATAGAAACTAGGGTAATTAGCGATAATGTGTGAAACAGATTTATGCGCTCAAGGGTTGTTCTTTTACCTCATATTTGCAAGTCATTTTTCAGTGACTGTCAATATAATAAGTTATTGATATTCTGAATGCATGTTGCACTGAGCATAACCTGAAGACAAATTGCTTGCTGCAATGCTACACGTCACAGGACTCCGTCGAGGTTTCTCTGGCAACTGCTGCGGTTTTGAATTTAATTTGTACCCTGGCAAATATTGCATATTGCAGGCGCTTTCTTTACTGATGCCTGTAGAGTCAATAGTATTATCAGAGGGAGTCAAAAGAGACCAAAGAGAATGTGAATGAAACATTTGGTAAGCTGTTTGTTCGCTGCATATCCTGGATATACTTTCTGTTTTCCAAAATGGAACCTGATGTCAAAATTTCTTTTATTATTTGTCTGCGGTCTATACCGATGCAAAGAGCAGTATGTCGTTTCGATAACGTGTAAAGTAAATACAGCACACACGCACACTATTGGGTAGAATAACTGAAGTAATATGGACAGCTGTATCGACACTGCATCACAGAAAGTTTGGGAAATTATGAAAAATAGAAAAACCAAAGAGTATTTTTCCTTAATCCTTTCCTCCACGTATCAACAATGAGATCGACCAGCTGATGAACCAGATGCAGCAGATCGAGACACAACAGAGAAAGTTCAAAGCATCCAGAGACAGCATTCTGTCGGAGATGAAGATGCTGAAGGAGAAGAGGCAGCAGTCAGAGAAGACGTTCATGCCCAAGGTGATTCTTTAATTTTGTTGTTACAGTATCATAAGTTAAATGTGATCAGAGTTTACAAAGACCAGACTGTCTTACTCATCCTGTAAATTAATTGTTTTGCTTGATCTCTTACTGGGGCTCAGTCTGTTCCCAGCATTTTCTCATTGTGCTTGTCACTGATGTCCAACTCATTTTTTCTCTTATTTCTCTTCAGCAACGCAGTCTCCAGAGTTTGGAGGCCAGCCTTCATGCCATGGAGTCCACCAGGGAGTCACTGAAGGCCGAGCTTGGTACAGATCTGCTCTCTCAGCTCAGCCTGGAGGATCAGAGGCGTGTCGATGACCTCAACGACGAGATTCGTCAGTTGCAGCAGGTCAGGAGACTATTCGGGACAGACACATATGATCTGTGTCTATACAGTTTATTACACTTTGAAGCAACTGACGGTGACCTCTATCCTTTGTACAGATACTTGTTTAAGGGATGAAAATGTTGACGTGAGACAGTGTGGTGCACTGAATCATTGCCAACTGAAGACCCTGGACAGTTAATTTACAACACAAAACGCAGTAATTATTCTAACTCTATGAAAAGCCTAAAAAGGACACCATTAATTAAAGAGTTTGAAATAATCACTGTTTTACTGATAATTCAAGAGTAGTGCTAACATTAGTTTTGAGACAATTGATTTTTAATTTAACTCTTGTGTTTAGTCGCTTAAAGTGTTTATTGTATTACTTTAAAATGATACGTTCTAAACTCTGATGTTTTAGTAAATTTTGTTAATTAATTTAGCTCTGGAAACTAAAATATATGGGATATGATATTTAGTACATGGGGCAACAATGGATTCCATTGTTCCATACCTGGATCTTTCTGTATTGCTTGTTTCTACTTCTATTAGAGCTCTGGCCCTGGCTTCAGAAACCTTTTTTAGAAGTGCACTGTTGAAGCTGAAATAGTGGGTGCACCCACACATACTTACATGTAGTTCAGAGAATAGGCCTGTTACCTATATTTTGTTGTCTCTCTTCGCTCTCCACCTGCTGCTTCTGTATTCAAATGATCTGACGAAGGTGAGAGTAGCAGGCAGCAGCTGTGTGTGGGATGTTTCTGTGATCCAGCGTTGCCCCTCTTTCTCTTTCGCTGCCAACTGCTCTCAGCTCTCACCTCAATGAACTCTCAGCCATTCCTGCAATCATTGCGCAACAACGCCCCTGCAACAGGTAGCCTTTCATGTATGGTTCTGCAGTGTTGGCAGTTGTTGAATTACATTACCTGTGACATAACACTTGATTTTGTATTAATGAGTTATTGTGAATGTCATTCGCCTGGATGTTAGTTTTTGCACATACAGGGATGTTGGTGAACAGTTTTGGACAAAGAATTTCCAGCAACAAATGTCCTTTATATCTGGTTTACATATAACTACAGCTATACACAATTGTTAACATTGGTTTTCGTCTGTGTAGACTGAACAGTGAAGATCACTGACACATTAGGGCATTCAAGATGTTATTGAAGGCAGGAACTATTCAAAATCTGCTTTTAGATAAATTGCTGCTTTCTGGCAGTCTGACTGCTGTATTTTATGCAGCACATCTCTTCTGAATGACACACAAAACAATGAAAAAAAGAACTTGTTGATATTCAATTGCTTTGAACATATTAATGTCCTCTTTACACATGTCAAAGGCTTCACATGACTAACCGTTGTGTGTTGATCTCTTTGTCCTCTCACAGGACAACAGACAGCTGTTGAATGAGAGAATCAAGCTGGAGGGCATCATGACCAGAGTGGAAACATATCTCAATGAGAACTTACGGAAGCGCCTTGACCAAGTGGAGCAGGTAAACTATTCCTTCAGACACCCTCAAAACAAAGTGTCATACACACAATAATGGATTTATGTCTTTTACTTTTGCTTTTCTTCATATAATCATTTCTTGCACAAAACCTGCAAGTTAAAAAGTGTTTTGTTAATTTGTTTTCAGACGCTACATCATTTATTAAATATAAAGTATTGAAATGTGTGCTGTTGAGTCTTTGATTCACTGCTTTCAGTCATACAAGTCAGAAGAGGGGTGTTTGAATTTGCAAGACACTGTTTTGATGTTGCCTCATATGCATTAACACAGGAGCTAAATGAACTGCGAGAGACTGAAGGCGGCACGGTACTCACAGCCACAACATCTGAGCTGGACGGCATCAACAAACGTGTCAAAGAGACTTTGTCTCGATCAGAAGGTACGTATTGTAGTCTTTAAAAATACATTTACCTCACAGGCTGGTTGAATACAATATGTACAGCAGAGCTGATCAAAAGCCAGCATTGGCTTATTGTTGGTGGTTGGTTGTAGCTAGATGTAAGCGTGTATCTCAACTGTTCAAGAGAAGAAGTTAAAGTATTAAAAAATTAGAAAATAGTGCCAACATTATTTATACAAGTTTTATTTATTTTGGTTTGTCAAAATAAATCAGTACAGCTTGAACTTAAATGAACAATGAGCAATATTTTCAATGTCTGGGTTATACACTATATTGGGCTGCGGTGGCTTTGCATGAGGTAAACATATATATAGAAAAGAATGAAATCCAGCATTACTCACAGTGGTCTCACAGCTCTTACTAGTATTATTATGTAAGTATCACTTAGTTGCCTTTCAGCGTTGGCACACGGTGCACTTGTATCTTTTGTGGCCAGCACCATCTTTGATTTCATCCAGATCATCACAAACCCACACATCTTTACTGTTATTTTAAGAAAGTCAATAAAAAAGAGTTAACCCTCTGAACCCCAAAACTAGCCAGCAGGTGTGACAGGTATGTTATCTTTAAAACTTCCCAACTTGCAGTTTGTCAGAGGAACAAAAATAGAAAAATCAAAAGATTAACAACATTCTGACAGTTCTAGAGCAACTATCTTCACCAAATCTAAGCTTAAAATTGCTATCTTTCGTCAAAATTCCTTTGTTCTACACGTCTTATTTGAAAATAAACTTTGCTCTAACCAGATTATGTTAAAACACAAGAAATTCTGTGCTTCTCAGCAGAACTGTGAAGCCATTAGTGGCTCAACTGTGACGAACGGTAACGTGACTAAAATTCTGGAAAGATTCTAAAAACACAGGAGCAAATAAAACAAACTGCTTGAGGTTCAGAGGTTTTCTTCTAAACAGAAATAGATGTAATGATTTTGGGATTGTTTATATTAGTAACCTTTACACTAGTACGTATTACCACTTGAAAGCTATATTTTTGGGTAAGACACCTCACTTGCAATTAGTAAAACACTGCTTCCCTTTCTAATCTGGTATCTGTGATCCTTGCTGATATATTATCTGTTGGGCCTAATTTGTTTCCAGTTGAACGTATATATGCAGAAACTGTAGACTGCTCTCTCTGGGTTGGTACCGCCAGCAGATGGTGAGAATTGCTGTGATGTATTTGACTCACAGTTTGGATATGTTGCTGCACAGACGGCCTGGTCACACAGTTGTCTAAATGTTCTGGTTGTGCTGTGACTCAGAAGAGGCTGATAGAATGTGGTTATCAGAAAGCACTTGTTCCTTAATAGAATTAATTTGCATAGATTCATATTTCATCACTGGCACTAATTAAAGACATTCTCACAGCGTGATCTTATTCTTAAGCACGTAATATGTACAATCTTTTGTTCTTCACGATTGTCAGTTTACCCTTTGTGATTCAGTGCTGAATGTGATGTCTCTTTTTTCTTTTCAAAGTGAAAATAGTTTCTGGATTTCTTAACAAAGGCTGTAAAGATTAGTAGAGTAATAGTAGCTGCTCAGCAGAGATACAACAAGGCTGTTTTTCTTGTCTGGTTTTGAAAAGTTATATAACTTTGAAACCCATGGAATACCACGTTACAGCCTACTCATTGTTTGTTGACATCTATTTTTGCCATGATATGCATGCACTGATGCACTGAAACCCATCATGTCTCACTTGTTGCCTCCTCCAATACCTTCCCCAGATCTGGATACTCTGATTGACAAGACAGAGGCAGAGATCAAGGACCACATAAAGAGCATGGAACGATGGAAGAACATCGAGAAGGAGCAGAATGACGCCATCAACCACGACACCAAGGAGCTCGAGAAAATGACCAACAGACAGGGCATGCTGCTCAAGAAGAAAGAGGAGTGCATGAAGAAAATCAGAGAGCTGGGTTCACTGCCTCAGGAGGCCTTTGAGAAGTACCAGACCCTCACGCTGAAACAGGTACACCCACAGTGCTTAATGATGTTACGTGTCTGCTTCTGGCTTTTAAGTGTTGCTTTTCTACCAGCCAACACCAGCATCATTTAGACATGTAGTGAACAGTGTTATTATTTAGTGTGAATCAATAATATCTTTAAATCTGTCTGCCTTTAGTTGTCAGAAAATTAAAGCAGTAACAAATTAGACTTTCTTGAATCACTTGAGGTCAGATGATGAGCTGTAACACAACACTGCCGCATACATTTGATAAGGAATGGAACAGCCGTCTATCCACCTATACACAGAGCAACATCAGCCCTTATTTGGAGTCGTATTTAACTCAGCTTAAGCAATTTACGGCCACTTTTCTGTTTTCTGTGGTCTTCCATCCACCATCATCCAAGAGAAGCTGGCTCTTTAGCTGCTAAATGCTCCTTTTATGTTCACTTGCGAGCAGATAACTGTCATTCTGCTGTTCAGTGTTCTTTACTAAAAACAGCTACATTCTGTGGCTGAAAATACGGTCAACAGATCAGTAGGACTCCATTTGTGAGCTGTGAAAGCATAACATTGAGCTGAAAGATGGTGAAATGCTCTGTGTGACCTTAGATAAGCAGTCTGACTTTACACTGACACCGAAGACATAACAGCAGCGGCATTTACAACAATTAAGTCAGTCCACTGAGGTCAGTCTTCCTGTGCATCTTGTTTTACCCCCTGAATCACACTTGGGAATATGCACACACACACACACTCACACACACACACACACAGCTAGACCCAGGTCTCTTTAGGAATAAAGCCCGAGGCTATCGCATCCCACCCACTCGCCAGTGACTCAGACACTAGTTAGTGCTCTGTCTGATTTTTTTTTTTTTCCAGCCGGCTGCCTCTGGGAGCAAAGACTGTGAGTTGAGTGGACTTGGCTGCATCTTTCATAAGCGTCTGAGTGTGTGCGATGTGTGTGTCTCTGTATGTGTGTCAGCTCCCTGCCTTGACAATGCTGAAAATAGCCTCACACTTTCTCATAAACACTCCACGTAGTTAATCTTTCTCCACAGACACTGCTTGGGGGGGCAAGATGGTGCCATTGATTGCAGAAGTGGATGAGAGGGCCAAGTAATAATGGCTCTTGCTCATGCTCCCTTGGTCATTAGTGATTCAAACGGATGAATTTATAGTTTGAGAGTTTGGAAAGTGTGTTTTGAGCCAGACTGAACTGGTTCTTAATTAATCAGGCCATGTCATCTTCAGATGTGAATAAAATCTTACAGAATATTTTTAATGAAATGTATAATGGATCTGAATTCATGTCCTCTTCAAGTCAGTAAGTGGAACCAATGTACACGCTAATATTAGCAGGGTATGACAAAGTTTCAAGCATTGCAAAGTTGTTTTTCAATGGGAAAAATATGAAAATACCAAAATCACTGAGCAACACTTACTAGCTTTGAATTTGAAACAACAAAAAAGTTTGTTTTTTTTTAAAATTAGGAGTGATTTTTATTAAAAGCTTTAGAAACTTGATATACAGAATTGAATCAACCATATGTGCATTTTTCCTACACCAATGATTCCCCATTTTTATACCTTAAAACAGATAGTTCAGTCAACAGTGTGGTATGTTGGCATAAATCAACAGTTTTGTCATTCATTTTAAAAACACAACATTCATATAAGTCTCTAATCAACGACAAGTACTTTGTCTTTGGCAGCACTGATGTTTGGATGTGCCATGAAGTTTCTTTGCATTAACTTGAGCAGCAGAGAGTTGTGAGTCACAAGCAAAACAAGACAACGAAATTTGGATTTGAGGATGCGTCTTCAGTTATTTTGACCCAACATAGTGCTGTGAAACTGTTTGACAGAGTTTTTGTAATAAGAATAGGTTAACGTCTGCAGACTATAATAGACTATGTAAAGGATGAATCCAACAAGCAAACATCTGCTGAAACTGTTTAAATATAGACACACAGGGTGATCAAGACCCCAAGGTGGAGGTTTTATTTGAAGTTGTAAATTCCTGTGTATCAATAGTTGAATTAAAAAATAAAATAGACACTTTATGACTCACTTCTGTGCCACACAGGATATAAACAATATTAATAAGCAATTAACCTATTTTTGCGGTTGCAGAGGAGATTGTCGCATACGCACAGCTTGCACCCTGCTGTCTTGTTTATTTCTCTTTTCATTTATTGTAGCGGAAATTCAGTGTTTCAGCAGCTGCTCCACAATCAGTCTGCGTACATTATGTGTTTAATGTCACCACGGGGTTGCTGTAGCAGTTAAGGCACTCAATGTTGCCCAGTGTCAGTTAAAAGAACAACAAAAGAAATGACCTGTTTACTCCCAAGTGTAAAATACATCAATACAAGCCGTTATGACACAGCCTAAATATACAATTCATAAACAGTTATTAACAAACGAAGCAAGTGATTCATTTTAAGGAGGCTTGGTGTTAATATAACTGCTGAAACTTTTTTTAAGGCACAACTTGGAGGAAGTGCATGCCAGAAAATATATTGTAGATTAGCTGCAGTACCTCATAACCTTCAAACAATACATAACATCCTGATATGGAAAAGAATGGAGTAAATAAATCACAATGCACTTACGGTACATTTTCCACTGAGCTCTGTAAACAAGTTTGTTTTGAGGAGTCATTTTGACGACGCTGACAGACTGGCAGTCTGATCTCACTAGCAGCTAATGATGTAATGTTTCCTCTCGCCCCCTCTCCAACAGTTGTTCAGAAAGCTGGAGCAGTGCAACACGGAGCTGAAGAAGTACAGTCATGTCAACAAGAAAGCTCTGGACCAGTTTGTCAACTTCTCTGAGCAGAAAGAAAAGCTGATCAAGCGTCAGGATGAGCTGGACCGTGGATACAAATCCATCATGGAGCTCATGAATGTCCTGGAGCTGCGCAAGTACGAGGCCATCCAGCTCACCTTCAAACAGGTAAACCTCACACTCTGGGCAATGCTTGAGGGAGAAATGTTTTGATGTCAGTTGCTGTCACTCATAATTAGTATTGGGAAGTTTGGAGAGAGAAGTCAATCCTGCTTTTGTAGGACCATGAATGCACACTGCTGGTAAGACGGTGTGGAGAGAAGATACACAAGTTGGTTTTAGATTGGTGTCAGATTTGCTGAGTGTGTTGCAACAAAGCATGAGTTTTATTCCTGAAGCTGTTTAAGAATTCATGGAAATAGATTGTACTAATTTAAATCCTTTTCTCTGGATATTTTACTTACAGGCTAATATGCAACATGTTCCATTTGTGTTGCATTGATGTGCTTTTCTTTTCTTTTTTTTATTTCAACCTGCTGTACTTTTTTAGCATTTGCTAATGCTTTGATGATATTAGAATGCAGAATGAAACTGATACATAGCAGTGTGACTTAAATTCACTCTGCCTTTCCCTGCCATGTTTTTTCCTCCTCTCAGGTGTCGAAGAACTTCAGTGAGGTTTTCCAGAAACTGGTACCAGGTGGCAAAGCTACGCTGGTGATGAAGAAGGGTGACGCTGAAGGCAGCCAGTCTCAGGATGAGGGAGAGGGGGGTGCAGACAGTGAGAGGGGCTCAGGATCACAGAGCAGCGTTCCCTCGGTGGACCAGTTCACTGGAGTCGGCATCAGGGTAAGTCACTTATTTGTTTTGTGTAGATTGATTTAGAAGGTTTAAAGTCATTGTAAGATATGGATTTATTATGAAGATATATGTATTCAAATCAGCAAATATTAAGAAAATGCAACAAGGAAAAGCTTTCTGGTCTTGATTTCTTCAGATGAAAATACATTCAGTGCTAGAAAGCATTAGAATTATGTTCTACCTCCGAGGTACCCACACTTTCTTCAGTTTTTGTCTGGTCACGTGCAAATGTTTATTTCTGGAGTCCTGATAAAAAGTGTCCTTGTAAATCTGATCTTTCCCCACAAAGCGGAACCAAGGTGATCTTAGTCATGCAATGAGTAATACCTAATTCTCTTCACACTAAATTTATCTTGATCGTTATTGAAGGTGGCATAACGGTGCAAAGGGTTCATGTGTCCTCCCAATAATAGAACCTCACAATAATGAAATCAGTGAGTGAAAATCGCTTTGTTTGTGTTTCTGCTTCGGGTGTAATTCAGCAATTTGCGTGTCCTGTGTAGGTGTCGTTCACGGGCAAGCAGGGTGAGATGAGAGAGATGCAGCAGCTGTCTGGAGGTCAGAAGTCTCTGGTGGCTCTGGCCCTGATATTCGCCATCCAGAAGTGTGACCCAGCTCCTTTTTACCTGTTTGATGAGATCGACCAGGCCCTCGACGCCCAGCACCGAAAGGCTGTCTCAGGTATAACGCTGCTTTAAGTGTGCACGCAGAGAAAACAAAGGGTACCAATGATATTATCAAATAGCAAGAAAAGTAGACAGCAGTATATTCTAATACCCACTTCTAATACATTTTACACTCAAGAAATCTATAAGGCTTAGTTAGATTGACAGTGTACATTAATGTTTGTTCTGGTGTTTTTGATTCACGAAAATGGTATTTCCCAAAATATTAGAAAAACTAAATGCGTACACAGATGTTCATATTGTTTGCTGTGCTTCCTCCTGCCTCCTTACAAAACAAAATTCAAATATATACGGTATAAAATATAAAATATCTTCCCTTGTGTCCGTTGCAGACATGATTGTTGAGCTGGCCGGTCACGCTCAGTTCATCACCACCACCTTCAGGCCTGAGCTGCTCGAGTCTGCTGACAAATTCTACGGTGTCAAATTCAGAAACAAGGTGAGGCTTTCCCTTCACACTTTGTATTTCTACTGAGGGGCAGGATTTTGTGAATTATCCACAGGGATCATACAAGTTTAATCTTGCCCGCAGAGGTTTTCTGTCAGGTGTTGCCACTGCCACAGCGTTTCTGACAAACCAAATGCTCTTGATGTATTCAACATCTTACGTTAAGACTTAATGAGCCACATAAGTTGAGGAGAATATGCAGCACAAACTATCCAACTGAGCGACAATTTCAGGGCATTTAAAATTCAGTTTTCCTAATTCTATGATGTAGAGATGGGGGGAAAAAAATCTGTATAAAACTACTTACTTTTGGATCAGTAGTGTGTGTTATTAGGTTTCTCCAGCTAAACTCTAATTTGGATTTTTTTATACAAAGAGCTCTCAATATGTTGATGCAATACATTATGTTCACTTACGATTATTTAGAAACCCTGAACAGTTTCTGGGCAATTTACTGCGGAGTCATTGTTCATCACAATGTAAAGTCCTACACCTCTATGGAAACCGCACAACCATGACGATATGGAAGAAGGAAACAAACGTGTATTTTGTACACTATAAGCCGCCATAAATCATCAAAGAAAATCCATCTGTGAATTTCTTTGGCTACTTATTTTTGCAAAAACTCGAAAAACCTGAAATCAACGTGTTCAACATATTTCCAAGTATCCATTCTGGAAAAAATGGTGGCTTTACATACTATAGATATTATACTAGTTCAACATTTAATTTGTTGTAATACTTGTCTCCTGTCTGTAAACAGTCTACAGTTCAACTGAAAAGTCCCTGAAATTTTGTTTCGTGACTGTTCAGTGCTGAGTCACTAATGGCTGAACGGTTGAGCCAAGGAGAACAGAATTGTAGTTGTGTTTGAGTTTTTTTTTTGCTTTTTTACAAAATCTGATGAGCTCAATTGGTTTATTTTTGGCAAACAAATCATAGAAAAAAAGCTTAGACTTGGTTAATTTATTCTTAGGAACCCAAGAGCGCGTGAGGGAGTTGGATGATCGTCTGAAAATGACCAATTTTTCTACAGTTTCTGGCTCTGATAGTTTGTATAGTTTGGGGAATTAAAAAAAAAAAAACTCAACAAAAACTTGAGTTTTACGAGTGTAAGCAGCCAGTGTCTGCTTCTGTGATGTGCACTTCCAACTATTAAAACCATAGTGCTGCATTTGCTGAAATATTCTCTGCTATGTTCCTGTGCAATTTAAATGATACAGTCAGCATTAACCCAAACAGGACCACGAGGTGTTTCACAAACTATTTCTATGCCTTTTCCTGTCCCCATCAATGTCCCTCTAACGTCTTCACAGATGGTCCGTCACTGATTTACTGTGAAAGAAAGCAGCATGTTCACAAGAGAGTCATTATTTAATGTAAATTACAGTTGATGGTGAACAGCCACACCTGGCACTTTCCCCCCCGTCTATTTACCAGGTTTGCATTCTGCTGAGCCGCCTTTGTGAAAACCAAAGCAAATATTTCCTCATTTAGTTTCTGAGCTTTCATAACAATTCTGATTACTGCTGAGTCAGAGCAGCCAAAATGGAGGCATTGATTGGTCATTAACTGTGCGTGTCTGTGTGTCTGTAGGTGAGTCACATCGATGTGATCACGGCCGAGCAGGCTAAAGACTTTGTGGAGGATGACACCACCCATGGTTAATAGTCTTCTGCTCTTCATCATCCTTCTCGCCTCCTCCTCCTCCTCCTCCTCCTCCTCCTCCTCCTCTGCCTCTACAGTGCACTGTAGCCTTCTACAACAAGGCCCAAAGACCGAAATCTCTCTAAATCCTCTTTTTTTACAATTTTATTTAGTCCTGTTGAAGATAAACAATGCAGCATGTCGAAGCTTCTCAGAGCATCTTTGAAGTCGGGATAGATAACACTCAGAAAAACCATTTTAAGATTTTAAATCATTTAAGGCTGATAAAATATAAAAATGCTCTCATTGTTGAAAACCTTTAAGCAGCAGCACTGACAACTAGGAGCAGTGTAGTTACTTTACACTAAACAAACTCCTCATTTGGTCTGAACAGGTCTTGAAGACTTCAAGCACTTCAAGTTAGCGTCACTGTTAAGAATCTTTTTTGTGTTGAGTTTTTCAGAACCGGTCATCTGATATGAAACCAGAGATGCTCTCAGAGGTAACAAGCTTTCAGGATCTTGGCAGAAAACAAATCCTCTTGTGTACAGTTCAGTGTTTTGATATGACTTAGACAACAATTGTTAAACTGAAAGCTCTGAGGAGATTTGGGGAGTCTTATGGATGTTTGTTTTTGTTGCCACCTTTGAAAAATACCTTCATCAGAGTTCCTTTTTTACTCTGAGGTATCTGTAATGTATACTCTTTGTACTCCTTAAACATTGCTAACATGTTATCTGTCATAAAAGCCGCGTGGCTTAAAATGTTCAAAGGTTGTGGTTCCTTTTTATGGTTGTTACTGTACTGCGTAATTTCTTGTCTGTAGGTCATTTGAATATATGAAAGTTTAATTCCAAAACACCAGATATTCATTCTGAAAGTCCACACAGACTCCGTGTTTGGGTTCAGTGGTGGAGAAATGACTCACAACTACAGCAAGAAGTCAAGTTGCTCTTTTCTAGAAGGCCAAGTTGTTTTTAGTCTTTTATTTCCATAATGGACATATTGTTTGGGATTAAACTCCTCATATGTTGCGGCTAGTTCCAGATCGGCTTTTCAAATGTTTTTTTTTGTTCCTTTTTATGTAATTAGAAAACTTCCAAAAAATAATAAAAAGGTTTTAAAAAATGAACTGTATGACATGTAAATCTTGCGTCCTACTTGATACGACCACTAGGTGGTGCTGAGCCACTGCCGACACGCTCGTGATCAAAGCCACAGAGAAGATGATCTTTTAAGGAAATATGATGTGACTGGATTCGGTTTGGCTGCTTTATATTTAGTACAGAAGCTTTTGAGCAAAATTCTAAACTAAATTCTCTGAAAAGTGATAGACGTTGAGCAATTCTTTACATCATACATGGGAAATATGTAACATGTCAATGCTGTGTTTACTTTAACTTACATGAGACAGGAAAGATCTTTAAAAAAACAACTTCAGAAACATAATTGAACAAATTCCTAAATGATAGTAATTCATGTAGCTACCAAAAAGATGACAGTGTTCTCCTATTCGGTGATTTTCTTCTTTGTCTGCCATATTTGTTTTGTTGTTGTTTGTCATGTATGTATTTGTGTTGCCCAGCTTCCCTATTGTGTATGTCATCCCTTGAATTTCACCGACAAACTAATCAAACACGGTGAAGAAACCTCATCCACAGCAGCTTCAGATTCAGCGACGGGGCACAGCAGACATGCAGTCATCAGCCGTGGCAACAAGGTCAGCGCCTGGCACACATTACACAGCTCTTACACCTGTGTTATATTCTGTAGTTGATATCAATGATCATGCTGAATCGGAGTGCCAGGGGAGAGCCCGCATGTCACATATGCGAGGCTTTCATTCTGGTGTAGCGTCACCTTGCGCTGGCAGTGTGTCGGAAAGGTCGCGGCCTCCTCAGATGGGTCTTCGATCACTGCTGTAATACCACAGACCTTCAGAGCATCTCGGCTCTCAGCGGCTGCCAGGCCTCGCATGGCGGCTTACGTCAGAGTTCTTTAACCTTTTTCAAAGCACCCACGACTGGGTTTTGGATTTGTGCTCCGCTCCGTGCCACCGCTCCTGTCGTGATTTGCAACAAATATATTTCTGGCCTGGAGTTTGTGGGAGGCGAGAGATGCCGAAGAAGATTTGATTTTTTTGTCATCCTTTGTCTTGAAGACGGAGCAAAACAGTCCGATTTTTGGCTTCAGCCTCCCTTTGTTTCAGGACCCTCTGCTTCACACCACACTCTGAGCTGAGCTGCCCTCCTCCAGCTCCCCCCCACAACTAATTCACACTCCTGAAGTGAAAAATGAAAATACCAACCTCTCATTCCACTCCATCTCTCTTTGTAAGCTGTTCTTTCTCTGCCATTTTCTCTTCTAAGGTACTTAGAAAAGAAAATTACTTACTACTTAACCTACAGGGATGTGACATATTTGCATTTTTTACAGGGAATGTTTCCTTTCATTATGCAGTTATGCTAAGTTATTGTGAATGAGCTGTTCAATTGCCTGAAAGTGCAATGAAGCAAAGTGTTCATTATTTATTAGCATTTACTTATCTACTCTTTTAATGAGATTGAAGAGGAAGGACAGAAGCAAGGCTGGTTTATTTCTGTAGCAACATTCAACAACAGGGCAAATGAAAAGGGACAAAACAAAGGAACCACTTGACACTGTAAAAAGAGGGCTGTGAATAGGATTTTTAGAAAACTAAGTACAAATACGAGAGGGAGAAGATGCCAGAGGTCCTCTGGATAAACACAATCCAGGTTACATGATGTGTTGTCAGCATAACCACAAAAGATGAGAAACTGAACAATCCAAAACTGATGTTCTTGTTCAACCACTGAGTGGGAATATATCTGGTTTGTAATTGGCTGCATTTAATAGTTAGTGGACCCAAGATAAGATAAGATAGAACTTAATTAACCCTGAAGGAATTTCTTGTCCTAGATGTTTTTCAGGAAAAAACAAAATCACACAATATAGGAAATAAGAACAATATAAAAGTATGACACATTGCTGAAATAGAAAGTAGAAAGGTAAACAGTCATGCTGACTTAACAACTAACATCATACTTGATAGTGAAATATGGCACATTATGTTAAAAATTTACAGTGTTGTACATGAAATTGAAATATCGCACAAGAAAATGCAGTTGATGTTGCACAAAATTTTGAAAAAAGTCCATTATCTATACACTGCTTAATCCTCATTAGAGTCGTGGGGGGCTGGAGTCTATCCCAGCCAACTTAGGGCGAAGGCAAGACAACCAAGCACACTCACATTCACACCTATGGACAATTTAGAATCACCAATTAACCTCAACACGTTTTTGGACTTGTGGGAGGAAGCCGGAGAACCCGGAGAGAACCCACGCTGCACAGGGAGAACATGCAAACTCCACGCAGAAAGATTCCGGTGCCCCCACCAGGACGCGAACCAGCAACCTTCTTGCTGCGAGGCAACAGTGCTAACCAACTGCGCCACCCTGCAACCCTTATTGAGAAAAGTAATATTGCAAATAACATTGATAACATTCAGATCTAAGTGTTTGATGTTTTCGTAGATGTCTATACGTTGCCGTGTGTCTTTGCATTAGTTTTGTACTCTGCATCTAAGTGCCTACAGTTAAGTCACACCTCTTAATGCATCATAGTATAATATTTAAGAATTGTGCACCAACCTGCCAGTGGACCTGGTATGATACCGACAGAACCCCTCGTCCCTCCCACCCTGTACGCCGTCTGTTGCCAAGTCAGCTGATCTGCAACAGCAGGGACCGATGCTTTAAATCACTGCAAATACCAGCTCTGCCATATTTCATCTGCAGATTTCAGATTCATTCTGTCCATGTACGTCAAACTGTGTGCCTCTAACACAGGGACACAATTTACACAAGAAAGTCAAGGCTCATATTCTGTTCTTGCAATTTTAATTGTTTTAACAGACACGAAAGCCATTTATTGCACTATTTAAGGACGACTCTTAAGATCAAATGAAGTCCGGCTGCGTTATTTCCAAATGTTACACGTTCATATTAAAATGTTCTTCCTATAGGTTACCGCGGTTTCAAAGTAGGAGAAGCACAATAAAGATGGTTCTGTTCTATTAAAGTGTCCCATTAAAGCCATGACAGCGTGACTGGGAGCCAGCATGAATAACAGCAGGACCTGAGGCAGCTGGTTTTATGACCTACACCTGTGCTCTTCTTACTGTGACATGCCAGACGGTCTAATGTAAAGTCTGCTGAAGGTCATTTAACCTTAAAGGACACATTTCAGGTAGCTGACTTCATAGGTGTCATGTGGGGACGCTGACATCATGTCACCACCACTTTCTGGAATAGCTCATCACTTTTTTTTTAAAAGCTTAATTTAAAAAAAAAAGAAGAAATGTTCTGAAAAGCTTGAAGTAAGGAATGTTGCTTAAAAAGTGAGGATGCTTTCAGAAATGCTTGTTTGCACAATGAGAAATCCTGCAATGTAATGATAATATATAAAAGAAGAAAGGTGCATCGTTCACACAGTAGCACCCCTAAAAGAAACCAGAGCACTCCCAACTACAGTTTGGGGTCAAAAAGATTAAAAAAAATAAAATAAAATACAACATTGATATTATTATTATTATTATTATTATTATTATTATTAACAAGGCTGTTTAATTTCATATCCAAAGATCAATACATAATCTTCAGCTTTTGTTGTTGTTCCTTCACTTCTTTCTGTGTGTCATATTTTAGGGTAATAATACCGATTATTGCTAACGAGACATCAATGCACCGATGCTTGATGTTTTATTGCCGTTTTCTGACTCACACTGTGTTGCAGCTGTCAATGTGATGCACTTGGATGAGACTTACTTGGGCGGCAGGCATTGTTTTGTGTTTAATGATGAGTATTTTCGTATTGTTTGACTGTGTAGCAGCCTAAGCGGCGTGCTTTTGATGCATGATTGTGTCATTTTTCCCCGCTTTCATTTACAAGTCTGACCTCATAACAATTTGCACAATAGGTTTGCATATGTTCAACTGAGCTCATATGTCTCCCTGTCTGTTTCCAGCACAACAAAGTGACGCAATTGGTTGGTTTGGCTCGTAGTACAGCTAGTTAGTAGCTAAAACTGTGTTACTAAACTGCTTGTCATGACTTTATACTGTACATTCATTCATTTATTAACTTTGTGTCTCCAGAAATCTGCGAATCTCCACGAGTTTGTGAGGTTTGATCTGTAATAATAGTGCCTCCTCTGCTCTTCCTTATACCATTTCCTCTGCTGCGTAATCCGCCGCCCGCCTCCCTTCTTGTTCCACCCCTGGCATCCCCTCTTCTCTCCATAGTCGAACAATAAACACCATATCTTTTCAAGCGTCCGCCCGCCCCTCTGCCCTCTGGTTTCAGAATGTGGAGTACAGTAATGAACAGATAATACCAGCTCCCATAATCAAGCTCATTATCATAAAAAAAGGCATAAAGCTGTCCTGGTTTTTATAGTCAACAAGTTAATTTGTTGTCTAACAGGTGCTTATTAACTGCAGTGGAGAGAGGGAGGAGCAGGAAGAGGAGGAGGAGGGAGCCTGTGAAAAGATTGGCTCTGTCCTTGCACTTCATGGTGGTCCATCTGCCGTGCAGGCCTGACGGGCCGACTGGCTGTTCCTCTGCTGCTCTGAAGTCATCCGTCTGTTTTAACTGCCTGTCAGCTGATCAGTCAGTCTGTCATCTGTCTGTTTGTCTCACTGTTTTTCCCTATCACAGATATGCGATTTTGATCTGGTGTTAAAGCTCCTATACAGACCAGCCAGGGATCCAAATCCTGAGCTGGAGCCCTGAAAGTTGTGTTGAGAGGTGA